CCACGGGACCCCGCGCCGAGGCACACACGCACAAAGCTACTCAACATGCTCCATCTGCTGTTCCGAACAGCAGCGGTGCACAAAACACAAAAAAGTCAACAGATCACAGCAGTGTAGGTTCAGGAACGTCGTTACAGGATCGCTGCCTGCCCTGGCGACATCCGAAGGCTTCGGGATCGGCGACCGTATACACTACAGGCTATTGCGTTCTTCCTGTAGCGGGTACTGTAGCGGGAACACTGCCTTCCCCTCGGTCAAGGTTGACGATCTAAACTACACTCCTGTACAACATATAGTCTACATAGTCTAGGCACAGCAGTAACAACACAGCAGCGGTCTGCAGCGGCTGCTACGACAGCATCAAGTGTTGACGTAAAACCTCCGCATGCATGCGAGGTGCAACTCCTCGAGCGATAAATACAACCCTTCTCTCCACCAGGGAGGTGGCTGTTCCTTTCCGTCGAAGCAAAAATATTTAACTTTACGTCCACAAGCAGGGGCAAAGAGAGCTGGATGAAGGGCGACTTCAACTTCGAAATTCCAATATTGAACAAACAAGCGTGCGCGCGACCCAGTATTTGTACCCCAGCTGAGTACACCGCGTCCAGTGCACTCTTCTTCCTGACGCCCAAAACATTTTCGCCCCATTCCTGACGTGGTCTTTCCCAACTACTGCCTACTCGCAGCAGCAAGTTGATCTTGATGAGCAACATGCACGATGTTGTATTGCATCTGTGGCGTCGCTCTTTCCCTTTGCCTAATGGGGAATTCTATGTTACCTTTCAGGTGAGTGTGGCTGCATTTCAAATCATCAACGCCCGCACTCTGCAGACTCATGCCGCAGGCATCAATTTACAAGCTAGGGTCCCCGAGAAAGCTCTCAGGGGAAGGCAACACCTGGAACATACTCTGGGCGCTGCAAATAAACGGGGCTGTTCATCAGGTATGGCGAAAGGAGCTGTGCTTGTTGCGTGATAACGTTGCATTCCATTTCATTGTTTCAGCGGCTCGTAAGCTGTTTCCGCATTGATTAAGTCGTGTTATCACGAAGAAGCTGTGGAGGAAAACGGTGCAAGAGGCCAGCATTTGTGACCCCTGGCGCGACTCCACGCTCTGGCTGCGCCGCTGAGTTTGCGCGTGCGATGTCAACCACACTTGGTTCGGAATTTTGCAATGATCTAGCACGCAAGGACGCTTTCATCTACCACAACGCGGCATTGGAGATCGGGGGCTGAAACCGCTCTGAAAATTCACGCCTCCTTGCGCGCACGTACGTATTGCTTGACCAAGGTGTCGATGCAGAGGAGGCTCTCCCAAAAGATGATCGTAAAGCACGACGGGAAGACCTTGCTGGACAAGGTCTTCGTGTTTGCGAAACCTTACGAGGGCTACTGCCTCGTGGCCTGGGTCAACCAGGGGATCAGTTTCGGGATATTCTGCACAACGGTAAGGACGGTTCGAGTAAGCGGCGGTCTTCACGCCAACGGCGATTTCAGCCCTATTCCCGCGAGATGCCGCGTTGCCGTTCTCCAGGCGGATGTGATTCTCGACCCTGATCCGACACCCTCATGTAGGACCGCGCGCGCCTTAGAGGCATCTGATTTGACGAGGACGTCCAGTTACGCCAAGCAGACCCTTTTTTGTCCTCGTTGACTGAACTTTCCCTGACAACTGTCTCCTCCCTTTAAGCGTCAGACTTAACAAAAAGCCCTACGTTGTGCAGGATTTGAGGTGCATCCAGACAAACGCCGATCACTACGACCTCCGTGTCAATGGGGTCAAGTTCACGGGCTTGCCAGACGGCTGCCGTTTGAGGCAGATACAACAAGCTGCTGCTCTCCGGCGGTAAGTGTCGTCACCAGACGTGACAGCAGTTTGTAGCCCTCGCAGTTAATGTAACCAAAGAATGCCGCCAGGCGCCACGAGGTTCCAAGACCCTCCAGTCGTTGGTGCAGTTGAGGCATCAGTCGGCAAGAGCCATCAGTATGCGGTTGTTCTAGAAGAATATGAGGCGAGAGTGTGAGAGAACTAGCAAATGAGGTAGCAGCGATGCGTGTTGTTGGTCAGCGCAAAAGCGAAGGTGTGTGTTTTGAGCGCATTGGTTGAGCGTTCTGGTTCCCGGTGCCGTAGTTCGGGGCGATTTCGTGAAATACAACCGCCCTCAAGAGATTCGTGATACCACCAAATCAGGTAGTGGAAGACATTGCAAGGAAGTATAGGTATCAACACGGCAGTGAGGGAACGCTGCCGAGAGAACTATCTGAAGCGGCAGAATCTAGCAGCATTACGGTGTGGTGTGAGGGCAATGCCTCACGAGATTGCCATCAACAAGTACTGTCTTGTGTATCAACACCAAAGCAAGCTCGATCGGATAGGTATTACTTTTTTCAATGTTATTGTTGTTGCAAGTCAACCTTTGGCTTTTCTTGGAGTCGCCCAAAAAGCACTCGGATTGAACCCCGCCGACACACCTTCTCCCCGCGGCCGACCCGGCCCATTTTGTGTGCTTTCGGTTCCGACCGTGGCAATGGTTCCCTATCCCCCTTCAACAAATGAATCACCAAGTGCTCATCATTTAAGCGGTCCGAAAGCGCCATTCAGCATGGCGACTAGTTACGGGAGAACTGTGTTCTGAAACCCCTCGACCTTTTGAAAGTCGTAGTTTTCCGATGTCGACCCCCAACGAACGTCGTCGTTCTTGCCTTGCCCCTTTTCTCTGTGTGTGCGTGCAGGTCTGCCTCCGTTCCCAACATGTCCGGCGCCCGCGCCGGTGACGCCTTCGGCGACGGCAGCAACGGCCACGGGGGCAGCAACAGTGGTGAGGCCGGCCGTGACAGCAGGGGCTCCGCGGCGGAGGCAGGGGGGAAGGCTTCGGCGACAACGACGGTTCCACCCAAGGCCCACGCCATCTCCCGTATGACGTCCTGAACGCGGCCCGTCGTGGGCGTCGCAGCGGACCCCCCGCGGATCGACGCAACGTTTTCAATGGCTTGTGTTTGCGGAACATGCCTCAGAACGGTCTCGATGAAGGGCTTCCTGTTTGGTACAGGTAAACACACGACCGCTCGGCCACAAAACGTCGGGTTTGTAGAGAAAAAAGCGTTTTTCTGCTGCGTACGAAAGTTTATATATTAAATCTTCGTTTTGGGTCTATTTCCTTCATAGACGCTTGCCTCCATATGCCTGCTGAGGCTTGCATGTTATCGAGTTTTTGCGCGGAAGGGAAAATGCCTGTCGTAAGTGAGACGAGCGACGACAAGACTTTTATGGGAAAATCGGCTTGTAATCTGTTTTTGAGTCTCTGCCAACGGGGTGGTGGGCGATTCTCTTTCGATGTTCACATGATGCCTGTTATCGTACGGCGTGTTCTGAGGTCATGTTCTGCCTCTTGACGGACGGCGTGTTCTTGGGGTCTGCAGTGCCGGCGGTACATCGGTGTCGTGGGAGTATTTCAATTTCAGAGGGTCTCTCACCGGCAAAGAGTTTCATGATCAACTTGCCCTGGGCTGTTCTGTCTCAACAATATCGTTCATGTAGATACGTTGTTGTCGAAAGCCTCCCTCTAACGGTTTCAGTGGCAAAACGGCAGGGGGGCGGCCGTAGGCGTACTCTTATAGCAGGGTTTCAGGCGTCTGCTGCTGTGCGAGGGAGGGCGGGTAGCGAAAATCGCTACGTCGAGGGCACCGGTATGACGTGTCATCCACAAAAGTGTAAGTGTCGTTTGTTCCAGTGAGGTGTGAATATCCTGTCTTGTGGTAAAAATGGCTTCGATAACAAGCCATCACGAATCATGCATTGTGGTACGGCGGGTTGGTGTGGAAACAAGTGTAAGACAGATGCGAACTTGTAACTACGTGTTTCGTGTTATTCCGGTTATATTTCGAAATTATGCGTATTTTGAGCAGGTAGTGTTGTGTGTTGTACATGATGCGAGTCGGCGGCATTCCTTTTGGTGGGTTGAACTTCATCGATGCAAGACACCGGGAATATAGTTTCACTTTTCCTGCGCACGGTGGCGCTGAATCTCCGATTCGTTTTGTTTTTTTGGTGATTTTTTGGCTTTGGTTGTACGATACATGAGTGCGCCACATTACTGGGTGGGGATTGCGACATTTTTAGATGAAAAGCGATGCAGGATACTTGAAGCGTATCGTACATATTTTGACGAGGTATTTTGGCCCGGGCCAAAAGTCGTCCCATCATCCGGCAATCGCGTCGTCACATGACGGCGTTCCGTTAGCAATCAATTATTGCGTCATTTTTCATTCTCGTCTCTCGCCAGAGTGGCAACAACACGAACACTCTCTAAGGGGACAGCACACGTCACGGCAGAGTGCGGCATACGAATCGCGGAGAATCAGCCGCTCTTCGACCAGACGTCATCGGGGCGCGACGGGTACAACACGAACAGGTTTGTACACCGCTTGGGCAAAAAACACGCCCACACTCGCTACTTTTCAACTGAACAGCAGTTGTACTTCGTTGTCTCCAAGCCAGGCTTGCTTCTCACGTTAGTTCTTGTCCGAATTTTCTAGCGTCAGCGGTCACGAAAACAGGGCACACACGCCGGAAAGTCCAAAAAATAATGGCACACACGCAGGGTGGCGATAGGCACGCGGCCCCTGCCGGGAGCCGGGTACGGTCGTCCCCCAACGTACTGCAAAACACAAATACAGCAGTAAAGATGGAACATACATTTCGCAAAAACAGAGTAAAGTTTGGGAACCAAACCAGACACCATTGCCAGGCCAGACCAGGAGAGATACATATACGGTGGCCGTGCGGCTTCCCCACCCGCGTAGTGGTTCCACATCGGGTTTTCACCGACCAGGCGCCCCCCTCCCGCACCACACGCATCCTAGATTTAGTACCTAGTGGAGTGTGGTGCGGAGAGAGGGCAGCGCAATAACACAAAAAAAAAGAAAGAAAATAGGAATAGCAAAAACATCTCCTACGAATGACTGCCGACTAAAGGCCGAAGCATGCGTCCGGAAGTGGTCAACGGCGGGCAAGCAAGGAGTCGTCTACCAAACACGACCAAGTAAACCAAGGCCAAGGCCAAGAGGCCGGCACCGGCACCAGGGGGAAGCTGGAGGGGGAGCAGCCAACTTGCACCCAGTAACAAAATATTGTAAGACAACTGTATACACGTGCAATCTTTCTCACTTCGCTATTGCCGGATGTGCACCGGCGTCGTTGAGGTACCTCCTCGCGTGTTCCTTCTCTTCGCGGGAACAGTGCCTGGCAAACATCTCCACGATCTCGGCCCTGGGCTTCGTGACGAACCCGCTGCCCCCCACCTCGGAGCACCTCGACATTACGTCGGACTGCACGTTTGCCGAGACGAAGACCACGGGAGTCTCCTTGTTGCGAGTGCCGGACCTGATCTTTGCACACGCGTCCACCCCGTTTATCACGGGCATGACCATGTCCATGAGAACGAGCGAGTACCTGCCGGCTTCGCACATCTGGACCGCATGGAGGCCGTTGTCACACGTGTCGGCGTCTACACCGACGCTCTTGAGGATCCTCGACAGCACCTTTCTGTTCACAAGCACATCGTCGACCACGAGGATCTTCGGGTGGTTCGAGCTGTCTAGGGGCTCCAAGGTTGTAATGGGATCCAGGGCGCACGCGATGGACGGGGAGGAGCTTTCGGTGGCGTCCGAGTAAACCTTCCTGAGCGGTGGCACGGTCCCGCCGGGTTCGGGCGGGGTTTTCGCCTCCACTGTGAAGGTGACGGTGGTCCCCACCCCTAGGGTGCTAGGGCACACGATCTCTCCCCCCATGAGCCCGCACAGCTGCCTGCAGATGCTCAGCCCGCGCCCCGTCCCTCCTACGTCCGTCCTGGAGTGAACCTGCTTGGAGGTTTTAAAGGCCTCCTTGTTGATCGATAATTCGGGTTGCTCAGTTCTTTGTGTTGGGAGTGTAGAGCAGCTGGGCCATGACGGGCCGTGGTAGGGTAGGGACGTGCGGGAAAACGTGTTGTAAAACGTATTGTGAATTCATCGGGGGCGTGCTTCAGCTCGTCAATCGGTCAAGGGATGGAGTCACGGGTCACGCTCATCACGCTCAAAGTACCTAACGAATGTCTATGAATCTCCACCATGCCATCACACTCCCAAGGAAAGTATGAAGAAACTTCCTGTTCCTCCGCACTCGTCACTACATGAATACGTAAGATATCACCCACCATGCTATGCTACGAGTATATCTAATACTTCGCGCCGTCCTGCGTCATGCCGCACCGGTGTCCTGGACACTCACGTGGATGTAGCGCTTGGCTCTGGACTCAGCTCCGGACTCGACTCTGGACCTGGCTCTAAGCTTGGCGTCCTCCTTCTTGACGCAAGAGACAATTATTTTGATGGAGCAGGCGTCAAGAAACTTCAGGGAGTTGGTCAGCAGGTTGGTGAGCACCTGCTGTATCCTGAACCCGTCCCCAACGATCTTCTCCGGTACCCTGTCCACGAAGTCCAGGACAATCTCCAGCTTGATCTTGTTGGACTCTTGCTTCAACGCGTTTTTCACGGTGCTCTTGACAACATCCTGAACCCTGATGGTGTCCTCCTTGATGTCCAGGAGCCCGGTCTCTATCTTGGACATGTCGAGGATATCGTTGATAAGCGCCATGAGAGTCGCCCCACACGATGATATGGTCTTCACGTAGTACTTGGACGTGGGGTCAAGGTTCTTCTCCGTCAGGAGCTCCGATATCCCCAGGATTCCGTTCATGGGCGTCCGGATCTCGTGAGAAATGTCGGCGATGAACCTCGACTTGAGGCTCGAGTACCACTCGGCCCTAACCCTGGAACCGTTCATGAGTAGCAGAGTCACGGCCAGGCTGGCAACGATGGCCATGATCGATTATTCGGGTGGCTCAGTTGTGTGTGATAGGAGTGTAGAGCAGCTCGGCCATTACGGGCCGTAGGGGTAGGAAACGTCGTGCAGACGTGTGGAAAAACGTGTTGTATCCGTGTTGCCGTGTTGTATTAATCGGGGGCGTGCTCGTGCTCGTCAAACCATCACGGTATCGAGTCACGCCTTCATGCTTTCTCACACAACGAATCTCTCTGAATCCTCACCAAAAGCCTCTCACAACCAAGGAAAATATGTAGAAAGTTCCTGTTCCTCCGCATCTCATCACTGCAATATTCGTACGTACGTACATAACATCTCAACCATCATACTATGCTACGAGTATATCGAATA